TAGCAACCCTATGTACAAGAGCCCTAAATGCCATTCTATTCTGTGCCAACCTTGCCATCTTAAACATACTTATTCCCACCACTCTACTCAGAGAACTGATCCATCTCATTGAGGGTCTTCCTCTCCTGCGCCGTCCCTCCACTCTCCCAAACATGATGTCCCTCTCCAAGGACCAGTCCCTCCTTGCAACATACAGTTAATATACAATGTGTTTTATATAACCATTCATATGCATTGTTTTTATAGAATTAATTACCATTGATCTATGCCTATTATCCTCATTTTCCACAAGCAAAAATGTACCATCTGTACAAGACAGGTTTTTAATGAATTTTCTTGTGATCCTGCTCCCACGTTCTTGTTCACAGAATCCAGTTTCTCAAATTATTTGCTCAGCATATAGACTGAATAAGTAAGAAGAAAGGATACAAACCTAATACACACCTTTCCTAATTTTAAACCATGCAATGTTCTCTTGGTTTTTGAGGCAAGGATGACAAAGCTTCACCTTACATGCTTAGGGCATGTCACTAGGAGAGGCTATTTCATGAACAGGGATATCATGCTTGCAAAGGAAACCTCTTCATGTGATTGATTGATACAGTACTGCAGCAATGGGCTTAAGTGTGTCAGAGATGCTGAAAATGGCACAAGATAGGACAGGGAAGGGTTCAGATCTGTTGTTCATAGATAATTGTGAATCATGCTCAACCAAAAACAACATACTTATTATCATCTCACTTTTCCAAGTCTCCATTCAATCTTTCCCATTCTTTCACTCTTTTCTTTATACACCAACCTCTGCTATCCAAGTGATTTTCCCTCTTCTCCCTTTTCTGTCATCTTATCCCTTCACCTTCTGCTTTTGAATATTTATACATATCTTGCTCAGTTATCCTCCTTCTTTGACAATAGTAGTCTTATGCAATATTTGTGTTTATAAGACTGAGGAATTTCATACAGCTTAAAACTCTTTAGACTAATCACAAATTAAAAGGTTAGATTGAGAAGGGAAGATAAAGACCAAATAACTCAATACTTCTATCCCTTTTTAAAACTTCACTGTCAGAGAGGAAACATTAAGCTTGCAATGTTGCTGTGGGAAATTTGTAGCATGGACCCGTGTCTGTGTACACAGGCTTGAGAGTTTGTGTGCAGGCTGCAGGTGCTGGGGAAGCACTGTGGCTCCACAGCACAGAGATAAATGCCTGAATCTGTGGTCTGGGAAGAGGAAATGTGTAATAAACTGAGACGTTCTGTAGTAACTGTCGTGGCATTTAATCTTCCCTTCTGCTGTGTCCCTGAAGAAATGTAAAACAGGCTGATGAGGCGTCCTTCAGGATTTTGATGAAACCACTGCACGTTGTACATACTAGTAGAAAAATTGCACCTCAGGGTGTAGCTCTCTCCCTCCAGGAGGCTCAGGACTGGAGGGCTCTGCTCCACCTGCGCCCCTCTCACACCTGACCAGAGACAGAAAAAAATAGTATCATAAGTGATGATCTCTATAAATCTACAAAACTTCTGGAACTGTCTCTATATATTAGAAAGAAGACAAAAAAATAAGAAAGTCGCCTTGAGGTCTTTTCTCTCTCTACCCTCAACAACCCTGCAGCTTCATAATTCCTCAGGTTCCCACTGTGACAGCCCCAACTCACAGCAAATCTGAGCATACAGAAGTCCCAGCAGAATGATCAATTGCCTCTTCATGATGTTTTGCTGTGTTGCTTGGGACATTTCCACTCTAGGATATTTTTAACTGAACCCTGGGCAGGTGGGTGCATGACGAAGTTCTGAAACTTCCTGTTCTTGCAGTCATCAGCTCAAACTACAAACTTTTCTCAAGTCCAGATGTGGGAGCTCCCTCAAGTGGCTCATGACAGGAAACCTCACCTCCAGCATTATTTCTTTATTTGTAGGACGTGTTCTGATAAGCCTGAATTCTGTAAGAGTAAGAGAGACTGTGTGAGAAAAGAAGTATCTTTCTCAGGAGAAGAAATAACTGATTTGGGGAAATGAAACATCATCCACATTTTCAAAACCAAAAACAAGTCTAAGAATATTTTTATACCTACACTGTATTTAGTAATTCATGCCAGTTATACAAAGTGATAAAAGCATAAATTCTGTGTATTACTTACTTAATGAGTTCTTATTAATGGTTTTATTGAAGTTTTTATTATTGAAATATATGAAAATACAGAAATCTATTTGAATTAAAAAATCTCTAGGGTATTAGGCCACAGGAAATTGTGTTAAGCTAAAGCTTTTAGTTTGAATCCACTAGCAGCTCTACTATAGAAAGATGGGCACTCTCCTCATTTGCTGATTTCTCTAAAACCCTTCTGGGAGTTCAGCTAAGATTGATTCTGAATCAATGACATGAGTTAAGTTTGTTAATTCACACACACACACACATACACTCATAAAGTGTAACTTTTTTTTTTATAACCTATTCAATATCAAGTATATATTATGGCAAATACTCTTAAAGGAAATTACCCTTTAATAGGAAATCAGACTATGAATTGTGAGTTAAAAACGAGTATTAAGTCAGCCATCATGTCCACATATTTCTGTCCTTAATACAGTAATTCTACTTCTTATCTGTGAAGACTTTCTGGGTGTCACACATAATTGAGTTAATCTGTTTTTCTAATTTTTCTGTATTCCATTTTTCCTTCTACTATGCCCTCTAATTACATTTCTACTTCCATATCTTCCCATTCTCTTATCTCTTTCCTGTTTCATTTTCTTCTTCTTCTTTTTTTTTTTGTAGTTGTAGGAAAGGGAGAAAAGAAAGTTTACAGGGAAAGAACACCATTGTAATCAGTAGTTTAGAAAAGATTTTGAACCTGTTCAAGGTGAATCAGGAACATATCCTGTCTCCACACTTACTCAGTCTGTTGCTGAGCAAATAAGTAAAGAAGCTGGACTTTATAAAGAAGAATAGGGCATAAGGATTAGAGGAAGACTCACCAACAAATTGAATTATACAGATGACACAATCTTGCTTGCTGAAGCAGGAGAACTTCTGGTACTTGTTGCAGAAGGTCAAGGTTACAGCTTTCAATATCGATTACGTATCAATGTCAAGAATACAGAAGAAATCTTTACCAGTAGGCTCATAGGCAATCATATAATTGTTGTGTACGGTAGAGTCAGAACCTAATCATAACTGACCCTCCATTGGGTTTTCAGAGGCAATTAATTGCATAAGAGGAGATGATTGTCCATCCTTCTCTCAACTAAAATGATAGATGGAGAAAAGATTGAAATTGTCAACAATTTCATCTTACTTGGATCCACAACCAGCATTCTTGGTACCAGCAGTTGGGGGATCAGAAGATATAAAGCATTAGGAAAGTCTGCTGTCAGGGACCTTTCCAGAGTACTGAGTAACAATGATGTGAGTTTAAAGACTAAGGTCATATTCAAGTCATGTTCTTTCAAATCACTTACTATATATCTGAGAGCTGGACAATGAATAAGGATCACAGAAGATGAATCTATGCTTTTGAGTTGTGGTGTTGGAGAAGAGTAGTGAATATCCCATGAATTCCAAAATAACATATATGTCTTGGAGAAGGTGCAGCCAGAGTGCTCCTTACAGTCAAGGATGGTGAAGCTTTATCTTATATTGTGGCAAGTTTTTAGTAATATTTGGTAAAATTTAGTCCAGCAAGAAGGTAATTTTTTATCTGTGCATTGTGTTTACTCCCCACTTGCACTTTCTTCTTCTGGAATTCTAATAATACCTGTGTTATTCTTCTTGACGTTGTTCCACATAATTCAGTAATTTTCCAATATCATTTCTTTCTCTGGGAGATTTTTTAATTCTATGTTTTGACTACTTGTGTGTTCCATCATGTTTTGTTTTATTTTTTACTAGTTTATAGTTAACTGTTGCCCCTAAAATACCGTGCTGTTATGTTTATTACTTTGTTTTGATGTGTTACCTGATTGAGCCATGTTGTGCCACTTGCTAATACGGTCATTCTTAGTGTTTCACCTTCTGTCTTCTGGCAGGTAGGGGTGACAGCCGTGTGTCTATGTTGCTGTGTAGAACAGTAGAGGACAGACTGGGCCAGCATGGTTTGTTTTTTTTCATCAGGAAAGTGGAGCAAGAGCTGGTCTTTACTCTTGCCCGAAGGGTGACGCTTCCAAAGTTGTATAAATTAATTTTTCTGCTGTCTGTTGTCAGATGACAAAAAGAAAAAGGGAAAGAAAACAGAACAAAAATATTCCTCTAACTATTGCAACACTGGACAGTAAAAGAAATTAGAAAAACCGAAAGAGAGTTGTACAAAGGAAGGAGAATCAAAATACTGTTGTTATGTAGCATCGAGTCCAAACCAACTCATAGTTCACCCTCCAACTGGTTTTCAGCGATTGTAAATCACACAGGAGTTGGTTCCTTATTTCTTTCCCAGAGAGCAACTGGTAGATTGGAACCATATACCTTTGGGTTGGCAGTGCAACTCGTAACATTAAGGGGAGGAAAGGAACAAAGAGAGGGGATAAAGGACATAATAAGGGAAAGGAATAAAACAAAAGAGAAGAAAATAAGGAAGATATGAAACACAGATACATACACAAAAGTGCAAAATCTTAAAAAATCAAGTATAGTTCAAACAATGATGGGAGCTAAAAAATGAGAAAGAAAAAAGAAGGGGCCTTAGATGGGGGTGTATTGGGCATTTGAATCTTATTGATAGTTTCAATTACTTTCCTGTATTCTATCCCATTGATTTCAGACCTTTTCCTTATTAATTCTTTCATCCTAGAGGCTGTGGGATCATCTTGTTGCTCTTTTTTTCTAACTGATGAACGTGGTGTTTTTTTCCTTCTTTCTTTTTCTTCTTTTTTTAATATGTTTACCTATTGCTATGAACTGCCCTTAAAGACTACCTTAGCTGCAAATTAGACATCTTGGTATGTTGTATTTTCATTTGTCTCAAAAAACTTTCTTAAATTTCTCTTTTATTTATTCTATAACCCTCAAGCAAGGTGTTTTTTGGCTTCCACTTGGGTGGTTTTTTTTATCCTTTATCATTCTTTTGTTAATTTTTAAGTTTATGGCACTGTGATCTGAAAAGATACTTCATATTGTTTTAATGTTTGTTTGCTTTATTTTTTTATTTTAATGTGTTTAAGCTTGCTTCATGTCCTAAGATACGATTAATTCTGGAGAATATATCAGGTGGACTTGAGAAGAAAATGAGTTTTATTTGGGTGAAGAACCCTGAGTAGTCTATGAAGTCTAGTTAGCTAATTGTATAGTTTAGTTCTGTATCTTTATCGAGTTTCTGTCTAGTAGACCTCTCCTTCGGTGAGAGTGCTTTGTTAAACTCGCCTACTACTGTTGTGGTGCTGTGTATATTTCCTTCTTCAAACCATTAACTGCTGTTTATGCATTTTTCAGGTCTATTGTTTTGTATATAAATGTTGACTAAGGATATATCTTTTCGATCCATTTTGCCTTTACTCATTATATAATGATCCTCCTTATCTTTTATGGTAGTTTTCAT